TCTCCGATGGAAGCAGCAATATTTGATGAGATAGTACTGCCTGTAACGAACGAATACTGAAAATCCTTCTAAATGTTCAACGTGCTTTGTGAATTTGACCATATTTAACATTATCTTGGAAAGCTCGCTCATACACCACACATTTTCACGTTTGTTTATCCATGTGAGACATTTGAATTTGGCCTTGAACCGTTTCTGACTGTCGTGCTTGAGCCACGGGGCTTTGGACCTTTGGGTTTTACTGTGAAGTCTATTTGGCCGCATACTTGAGGTTCGTATATATTTGTATCCTTTGTGCATTTCAATTTAGTACCGTAGAAGCTACGAATCAATCTTGTTCTGGTTTTGGGATTCAATTGAATTGGCTACGCGTTGCTCGATTTGCGAGACTCGACTTACAGTACTCAAGTGGAACCTGGACAAGAAAACTCATTGGAAATGCCCAGACGAGGAAGCAAGGACATTTTGAGACAACAGGAAATAACTCGGCAAGTCTCTGGGGATGGTTCGGGTGTTATTGATTCTCTAGATAATACTAAGTTTACTAGCTCTGTCAGTGCCAGGTCATATATTTCTAACCGCGATGCGTTTGACGATATTAGTACTTATAGAATGAGAGTAATAGAATTAGAAAACGAGCTGCGGTTAGCCAGAATGGAAGCAGAGCCCCTTACACAAGGAACTGGTCTCAGAGAGCCAGCAAAGAGTCCACGTAGTTCACAATGTCAACATCGAAAAGGCACTGTGATCGACGAATATAAACCCTTGAGACAGCCTGAAACTACCGAGGTTTTGGCTCTTGACCTGCCGAGAGTGGAGCTGTCCCACTTCGACGGGCACCCCGAGCGATACTGTATATTCATGAAACAGTTCGAAAATTTTGTTGAGTGCAAAGTTGCAGATCCTGGTCAAAGGTTTTTGTATTTACTACATTACTGTCGTGGGAGAGCCAAAAGTGCTATCGAAGGCTGCGCGATGCTTGATCCACCGATGGGGTACATCAGGGCGCGCAGAATCCTGAAAGATTTGTTTGGACAACCATTCAAGGTGGCTAGAAGCCTAATTGATAGTGTTTTATTGGAGGCGAAAAGGACTGAGGGCAAGGCTGAATCACTGTCGAGTTTGGTGATAAAAACGCAGAATTGCAGTTTAGCACTGGAGCACTTAGGATACCAGTCTGATCTGAATGCATTGCACACACAGGAATGCATTGTCCGATGTCTATCTATTGATTTACAAAGCCGATGGGCAGAGGAAGCGGAAAAAATAAATATGCTTGAGCGGGAATCTACGTTCAACGATTTGACGGAGTTCATAGGTCGTCAATCCCGTATCGCCAACAGCCGATTTGGACAAATCGTATGCGAAAGTTGCAGACTGGCGCGAAGGGAACCAACATCTCGAATTGTGGAGAAGGACTGTAACCAAACCCAGTCTTTGGCTAACATGCACATGATAAGTCAAGAACCCGAGAGGTCAGCTGAATGCAAGCTATGCAACTCCCTGCATCGGTTACCAGATTGTCCGACTTTTCATGGGATGAGTGTACCCGATCGGTGGTGCGCAGTAAAAAGGATTGGCTCATGCTTTATGTGTTTGAGCAACTCTCATCGAGCCTCTGAATGCAGCTTAAGAGTGAAATGCAACCAAGACGGATGCTTGGGTAATCACCACTCGTTACTGCATGGCCTTCTCAACAATAGACCTATTCAGCCAGATGAACCCAAAATTGTCTGTTCAACGGGACATGATGATTTCAAGCCGGCAAGATTAGGCATCGTACCTGTCGGTATCGTGACACCTAAAGGACTGAGGAGGGTCAATGCATTTTTGGACACGGGGTCGGATACCTCGCTGATTACTCGCGAGCTTGTAGAAAGCTGTGAACTAGTAGGCGAGCCTACCTCGCTCACTATCAGCACGATTGCAGGGGGTCATGTTAGCAATTCTAAGAGGCTGACCCTGCAGTTAACGTCTTTATCTGATGAGGGGACCGTAGAAATTCCGGAAGCTTTTGCAATAGACAGCTTGACAATGAGACCAGTCGACTCTGTTAGATCGATCGCCAAGAGATGGTCTCATCTCAGGGACATAGAGTTCGAAGAAGTTTCTAGCCCCCACGTCGACATACTAATTGGATGCAATGTACCAGAGGCTCACTGGGTGCTTGAACAGAGCATAAGCAATCGAAAAGAACCATTCGCTACGCGAACGATACTAGGCTGGACACTTCTCGGACCCCTGACGAGCGAACTTCAACAATCGGCATCAATAAATTGCTCAAATGTTGCTGAGAGAAGTGCCTCTGTAGAACACGATCAGCCTTTCGATATTGAATCCAACGGTCCATCTCAGGAAAGCGAAGTTCACTCGAAGGATCAGTCGGCGCTTTCGATGGCGAATTCAAAGACGGGACTTCACAGTGGGCAACATGAAGTTGCTATACCCAAGAGACCACCGTCAAGTCACTTATTGAGAAAAGGAGAAGTTGCCCGGAGGCTTTTGAAATGTCTCAAAAAAGGACACCAGCAGGTCACCCAAAGCAACTTGAAATTTGCCGACCCAGTGACAGTGTACGGTACCTGGGTGGAACTGCATGGCCGGCGGCGAAACAAAGTACCCTTTGCCAAAACAAAAATTGGTGAGCTGAAGTCAGTATCCCTGAACGAGCTTAAAACGACTGCACTGGTATTGGGTTTTAAGGTAGCACGAATGCTAAAGGAGAACTGCACCACCGCCGAACTGAGCCTTGCCTATTGGACAGATCCTACAGTTGTGTTACATTACAGGAAACGGAAGAAACGAAAAACGTGTTCGAGACATCAGAGAGTTAATCCACTCGAAGCAGGAAACAGCGAGGAAAATGTTGATGATTCGAGCTCGAAACCACATACAAAAGACAAAGTAGCTCGCAGATCGCCTCGCTCCGAGTTACTCAGCACTTTATTGCATTTCATGCCCTACAACTAATCAACTGGACCCATTTTTTCTGAAAGGTTGCAAATGTACTTAGTTCCAGTTTCTATCTAGCGTGCACATAGGCGAAGAGGAGAAATTCACCAGTATTTCACTTGAACAGTTCGGGTGAGGCATACTAGCTGCGAGCACATTGTGAAACTATTATTATCTTTAAAGAAGAACATTTATTTACATTTTATACAATATTGATTGTCACATATTTTGTGCACAGAAAAACTTTGAAACACTTGTTTTCAAAATTTATTCATAATCAGAAACCGGTTTTCATTTCTTTCGGAAGATTTGGTGCGGTAATTTTATGTAATTCCACTGGTTCGTGACCTGTCAATTTTACGCGATATCTCATTAGGCGTTGCACCTGCGTTCAACTTCTGCGCTCATGCTTGTAAACAAAATTAGTCTAACCAGTTGCTGCAATGGGTTACTGCTTGTGATGCTTAGACTTATTTCGTGCGGCGAAACACTTCACTCTGCGAAGCCTTCATCTTCATCGTGCGTCTGACTATATGCGCCGGTCTCCTGATGAATATGTCAATCTCAAGTTGTGCAGCGGGATTTGGAATTGATTCCTTATGGATTGTGCGATGATGACTACGGCAAAAACCTGTTTAACGTTCAGATAACACAGGAAGGTAGTATCCACAGGCACTGACAATAAGTTAAAGGTAGATAGGGTGAGAATCATGACCCCTTCCTGAACCTTAGGCAACCATTTTCGCGGAAGGATTTTGGCCGGCGGTGTAACGAACGAATACTGAAAATCCTTCTAAATGTTCAACGTGCTTTGTGAATTTGACCATATTTAACATTATCTTGGAAAGCTCGCTCATACACCACACATTTTCACGTTTGTTTATCCATGTGAGACATTTGAATTTGGCCTTGAACCGTTTCTGACTGTCGTGCTTGAGCCACGGGGCTTTGGACCTTTGGGTTTTACTGTGAAGTCTATTTGACCGCATACTTGAGGTTCGTATATATTTGTATCCTTTGTGCATTTCAATTTAGTACCGTAGAAGCTACGAATCAATCTTGTTCTGGTTTTGGGATTCAATTGAATTGGCTGCGCGTTGCTCGATTTGCGAGATTTGACTTACACTGCCTACCAGGTGGTAAAATAATATCGTTTACTTGCGAATAGTATGCGTAAAAGTCGAGCAAGTAGTTGACTGGGCGTCCCGAAAATCGGATCCGATGGCGTCCAAATTTGGGTACCTCTTCTTGATCACTGCATAGAACTAAGCCGAGTCATTGGAGATACGTCGCTCCATATCGGTAACCAGTCAGTGCGAGAAAGAAAAGGCAAGCGACTATCGAAATCGGGGTAGGGGATTATATATGACCACGAACCCAATCAACGACCTGCAACGGCTAAGGCAATGACTGGAGAGCTAAGTACCGAGATTTGACCAAGAAAAACAAGTTTCGCCAAAAACTACCAAAATAAATTTATTAAGTTCGTCTCCAAAAATCCCCCCCTTTTGTGATGTTTGTGTTCAGTTTAGGTGCATAAGATTTCCCGTCATCTGCTTGAGGTTTGCATTACACCAAGCGTTAGCGTCCAGCGGTCTGACAGCGCGCTATTTAACATTTTGCGGAGTAATGCATTTCTGACTATACATAATCCTGTCGCCTCTCCTTTTACCTTCCAGGTGCCGTTGTTAACCATGAGGCGGAGCCATCCAGTGCAGCAGGCACCTCGCCTCCCTCACCCTCCGAACAATGACCTTGACCCCGACCCCAAAACTGCATAAAATACCCCATGGACGCCCCCGAATGACCCACCTTTAGTTTCGACCTGTACCAATTACTGTGTCTCCTCGTGCCAATATAAGTCCATTGTTTTCCGAGCTTTGTCTTCTATTGTGACTGACCTCGTGCTGTGACCAGTTGTGCTGAACTGTGCATCTATTTTCAGATCGCGAACCCCACGAGCATTATAGCAGTCATTTTAATAGGCCCATAGATAACCGATACGCATGTCGATAAATCGTACAGCCAAATGACCTGAAGTACAACTTATGCTGAATTATTCTGTAGCTGAAGATTATTCCACGCACTCAATAATCCCCTCGTATACGTGCACTTTTTTAGTCACGAAACCATTTTTGGACAGTGAAGGTAGTTAATTACATGGCGCACCCTGGTCAGTGGGATGCACACGGCGTCCCGCACCCTTAAATCGCCTGCGGCCAACCTGTTTATATAGGTTTGTATACGTTTGCAAATTAAAACAAAAACCGCCACAGAACTGAGGACACCATTTTTACTTTTTGCATATAACATTTCATCGGGTCTAACCGTTTTCTGCAATTTGCACGCTGAACGTCATTCTGATGAACATTAAGGTTGGACCTTCAAGGTAATGAAAGGACTGTCAGGAATAAGACGAGACCTTTTCTCTCTGATCCCCGAGAGAGGTACAAGGGGGCATAACCTTAGATTACAAAGGAAGCATTCGAGGCTCCAAATTAGGGCGAAGTACTTCTCAAATAGAGTGGTACCCAATTGGAATAAGCTCCCGGAAGAGGTCATAAATACCACAACCGTGAAGGCTTTTAAGAAAGCAGCAGACCTATGTTTGGTGGCAGTATACCCCGAGTTATGTTAAGCAGCTTTAAGGGTCAGATGCAATTTACTTATTGTTTCCCCCTTACTCTGCCAGGGCTGATACTGCACAAAATGTTTACCTTTCAGAAAAAGAAAATCACGCAGTGTTGGGAGCTACGGAAACGCGCCGACAACACAACTATCTGGATACACGATTGGCTCTAGCCACACCAAGTCCTTTGCAAACTGAACTGAACTGAACTATCAAGCCAAGCCAGTTCGGAGCTCACTCCACTCTTAGTGGTGAGCGTTTTCTGTGCGCACATTGAAATGAGCGATGTGAAGATACTCCGTGGTAGACTGAATACTTTCTTTTCATTTTGTGTAATATTCAAGTTTTTGCTAATAGTTCTTTGGTTCTATTTCAGCTGTAAGATCCCATTCCAAACTGATTCAAGCCCACAAACGGCCATCTCGACTACTTCATTCATGTCTCCTGTGCGTATCTGTGGGTAATTTTCCATCACAATTTATTCAATTTGGATATGAAGTGTATAATTCGATCTGGTCGTTTCGACGTCGACCCTCACTCCCCAGACGCATCGGACAACTGTACTCATTGGAAGAAATCCTTGGATAACTTTGTCGCTTTTGTTGATCCACTCTGCGTTGAGAACCTCGTTACCCTGACGGCAATAGTGAATTTGGTTTCTAGGATAATTTCACACGACACCATTGCAGTAAAGCAACTGCAGAAAGAACATCCGACACGGTCAACATATTGCCTAACTCACTGTATTACATTGTTTTGCTCTAGCAATCGAAGTGTGCTGCGCCACCGAGAAATTTTTTTATTACTCCAACTTTTGCTTGACGCTCTCAAATGTTGTTCTGTCGAAGATTTGCGAGGCTGGTTCGAGTCCCTCAGTGTTATTCTTCTTCGAAGCTGTTACTAAAGCTAGTTGAGGTTGGACCACGGGATGGTTTGCAAAATGAAATCTCTATTATACCGACGGAAATCAAGGTGTCCCTGATAAACCAGTAGGTCCCTGATGCGTACACACTCAGTGGTTCTTCAACGACTTTCCTTTTTTAGATTGACTGAGGCTGGCTTGCAATTCGTTGAAGTGTCCAGTTTTGTAAACCCAAAGTGGGTACCGCAGCTGGCCGATGCACTTCAAGTATTCAGACAGATTAAACGTTGTAGTCTAACACGATATTCAGCTCTGGTTCCGAATATTCAGGGTTTTATGGATGCGCTCGAGGCGAAACCCGATGAGGTAGCCGTCTTCACGGCTGCCTCTGAAACTTTTGCAAAACGAAACATTAATTGTTCCATTGATGTAGTGCTACCAATGAAACACTCGATGAAAAAGACTAACAATTTTGTTTATTTGAACAATTACTGTTTTTGGTGGCGCCACCTGCTCCGCCTGTGTACGTCGTCTGCACGCCGTTGCGCTCCTCCAATACACACGTTGTCCCGCTCCAGCGTTTTGAGTTCTGCTTTGCGCGCTGCCGAGTATATCGCTATCGTGTCACAAACCGAGGACCAGGGGCTATAGACTCTTTACCGGAGCAGGTCCTGACTTACCTGATATAAATCCTAAATTGATGAAAGTATAAAACGTTTTGATAAGTTAAGATTTCTCCTTTTCTACACTGCTATTTCTCCCTGTGGGTGTTACGAACGTTTGAGCAATGCGTAGCCAAATTTGCAGCGGATCCCGAAATCAAAAGACGATTATCTGTGATATTCTACGATACTAGATTATTACAATAAACAATGACATAAACAATATGCAAACCTCAATAATACGATCACAAGGACTCAACAACGAGAAACCGAATAGCAGCGTGTGAGCAGACAGCACGTGCGCCACGCATGTCCTGAACAAAGATGTGCCAAAGTAGCGCTCTGGGCGCGAACAAACAACAATTGGTCCAGAAAAACAACCAGTTCGTAAAGACAAGTCAATAGTGTATGGAAATGAGCGATGTTGGGAAAAACACTGAATCGCGAGGGAAAGAGGGGGATTTTACACGACCGGCTTTTACACCGCCCACTAAAATCCTCCTGGATCCTTAGCAGAGCCAAAGGTTTGGTATAAAGGTACTGATTCTTCCTACCTGCCTAGGCCCTGCTGTCAGTGCGCGCGTCTAATGCTCGTCGTCAACGTTCTACTACTGGTCGCACCTAATCCATTGGATACATAGAAGTGAGGTTAGTCTACATCTTCCACAAGACCAAATGACCGATGGCGGGCGTGAATGGTCACATAGACGTTGTCCTCGTAAGAGGCCGTCCGGTCCTGGATGTACGTGCTTGAGTGTGTGTGTGTGCGTGTGTGTGTGTGCCGGGGTTACAATAAAATCACAGGTATGACTACACATCAAAAGAGGACTTTCTGCAATGTCAACAAAAGACCGCGTGGCAAGAAAACGAGTAAATGTAGCATGTGTGTGTGTGACCTGAGCTCCGCTACTTCCACATATGCAAAAAGCATTCGGTAGCGTCAACAAAAAGCAAAACAACGAACACTGTCACATGTATGATGGGTTTACGGGATGTAGAGTGCGTCGTGCCTGCGTGTATGTATCGGGATGTACAATGGGATCGCATTCATCACCACATATCGGAAAGAACCTTCTGTAATGTCAACGAAGGGACCGCGAGCACCTTAACGTGTTTGACGGAGATTGTGTGGCATATATGGTGTTTCTTTATCCACCTCGATTACTGGTGTGAAAAAGGTTTACTAGGCCTCAGGGTTATCAGCTCCTCCGTCTTCGCTCTCGAGTAGGTTAATACTGCGTATGTCACGAATGAGCACTCCGTTAGCTGTCTTCACCTTCACCGTTCTTATCATTCCGCCAGTGCTTTTGATGGTTTCCGTAACTACTCCCAAAGACCAAGCGCTGAAATGTGGGCGTTTGTCGGCGATCATAACCACGTCCCCAACTTTGAATGGTCTTGATTTGGCCAGCCACTTCTGTCGAGTCTGCAAAGCCGGTAGGTACTCCCGTAGCCATCGCCTCCAGAAGACCTTGGCCAGATAGTTCGCTTGCTTCCACCCGTGGAGGTAGCTCCCACGAAGGTTTACCGGCCCTTGGAAACTCTCGTTCGACCTTAGCGTCAATAAGTCGTTTGGGGTGAGCGCCAGGTGGGTGGGGTCGCCGTTCAATACTGGAACCAGGGGGCGGTTGTTCAGGATTCGCTCCACCTCAGTCATGACGGTGTTCAGCGTCTCGTCGTCGGGCGGCTGCTGCTCCATGATTGACAGCAATATCCGTCTGGCGGACCGGATCATGCGTTCCCATATGCCGCCTCGGTGACTGGCCTGTGGGGGGTTGAAATGCCATCGTATGCCGTAGGCCACGGTTCGATCCTGCAGTTCGTCCCTGTTTATGTTCTTGTGCCAACGCTGCAATTTCCGGTGAGCGCCCACAAAGTTCGACCTATTATCTGAGTATATATCGGCCGGTACGCCTCTTCGGTTGATAAATCTTTGCAAGGCCCGTAGAAACGAATCGGTCGCCATCGAATGTGCGACTTCTAGGTGTACCGCACGTGACTTCATGCACGTCATGATACATCCGTATCGCTTTTCTAATCTTTTCCCGCACTTGATCCACAAGGGCCCGAAATAGTCCAACTCGGTGTCACTGAACGGCCACCAGCCCGTAGTCACCCTGCATTCTGGTAGTGGGGCTATGAGTTGTTTGCCTGCTGTGGCATTGCGTCTCCTGCATTGCACACACCGTCGGATTACGCGTTTTACAGTCTCTCGTCCTCTCAACAACCAAAGGCGCTTTCGGATGACGCTTGTCACGTGACTTTTCCCGGCATGTCCATCCACGGCGTGGACGTGTTGGATCATTAGCTCCACTACAGGTTGTCTCGCAGGCAGCAGTATAGGATACTTTGTGTCGAAGCTCAGGTGGGCGTTGGTCAGCCTACCATCCACCCGCAGCAGTCCGTCGATGAGTTTGGGGTTTAAACGCTTCAGCTCGCCTCTTGGAGATGGTATGTCTTTATTGGTCGGCCCCACTTCTTCCGCCCTCCTGAGTTCTCGGGCGAAAGCCTCGCGTTGTATCATTCTGAAAATATCGTACTCTGCCGCTTGTAGCTCATCGGGACCTATCGGGACGACCCGTATCCGACCTGAGGGCCGTAGCCCTTTCATGACTAGTAAATTTCTCTTGAACCTGGTTAACCAAACTAGCGAACGAAGCGTCTTCATCCAGGAAGAAAACCTGACCAGTCGCGATAGAATGGATGACGCTTCGACGACCTATGTTGCTATCACTACGCCTTTGATCTCCAGTTCCACTTCCGTAGGGGGTTTTAATTCGAACACGGGCCAGTCCTGTTTGGGCAATTGCAGGAAGTTTGGCCCTCTCGTCCACGTGTCCAGTTGCCTGAAGTTGTTCGCACCTCGGGAGCACAGGTCGGCCGGATTATCGCCAGACCTGACATGACTCCACTGGTGCGTGGCTGATTCATCGTGGATAATCGTGAGCCGGTTAGCAACGAAAGTACTAAACCGGCTCCGTACGTTGTTAATGTAGTAAAGTACTATCGTTGAATCCGTCCAGAAGCTCACCGACCAAATGTAGAGATCGAAACATCTCTTCACAGCTTGCACCACCCTGACTGCCAACACGGCTGCGCTGAGTTCAAGGCGTGGGATTGAGACCGACTTCAGTGGAGCAACGCGGGCTTTGGCAAACAGGATCCTCGTGGTATATTGTCCATCTCCTGCGCACCATCGTCCGTACACCACAGCTCCATAACCGACTTCGGATGCATCGGAAAAGGCATGTAGTTCTCCAGTCCGTGTCGTATGGCCAGGAGTCAAACATCGTGGGATTCTTATGTCCCCTAATTTCTTCAAGGTGTTCAAAAATTCTTCCCAGTCCAGCCGGTCCCCTCGGTCCAGTGACTGGTCCCAATCAACTTTCCTACGGCACAGCGGCTGCAGCAAGATCTTCCCGTATAGCAGCCATGGTGAGACGAAACCGAGCGGGTCGAACAAACTTGAGACGGCAGATAGTATGCCACGACGGGTTATTGGCAGCTCGGGAACGTTCAGTTCGAAAACAAAATCGTCCGTTTCCGCGTCCCATTGTATCCCTAAAGTGCGCTCGATAGGAAGTGGAGAGCCGTCCAAATCTCTTACCCTTTCGGCCTTTTCGTGATACGGGATGACCTTCAGCACTTCTGAAGCGTTCGACATCCATTTAGTTAGATGGAAGCCGCCCTCTTCCAGCAATCTCGTCAGACCCCTGAACTGCTCTAGAGCTGATTCCACATCATCGAATGACCCAAGGTAGTCGTTGACGTAGAAGTTCCTGCTGACGCTTTCTACCACCGTCCGATGTACTAGATCGCCATGTTTGTTCGCTGATTCTCGGAGGGCGTAGTTTGCACAAAATGGTGACGATATGGCTCCGAAGGGGTGGACGGTCATCCTACAATTCACCACTGCGTTGTCCCGGTCGCTCCCTTTCCACCACAGGAAACGCAAAGCATCTCGTTCTCGTACCGGAATCTTCACCTGATGGAACATTTCCCTAATGTCGGCAGACAAAGCCACTTTACCCACTCTGAAACGGCACAAAACATCGATCAGTGGTGTGGTCCAGTCGGGCCCCTGTAGTAGGCGATCGTTTAACGACTTGCCCTGGAACTTGGCCGCACAGTCAAAAACCACCCGCAGTTTATTGGGTTTCTTGGGGTTGATAACCGGATGGTGAGGCAGATACCAGATACCCCTTTTGCTGTCGGTGTTGACTGGCACCTTTTCAACGTAACCGAGGGCCTCGTTTCGCTTCATCAAATCCGCGTATCGTTCCCACAGATTCTGGTCTCGAATGAAGCGTTCTTTTAGTCGTAGTAATCGTTGGAGAACATAGTTTCTGTTGTCAGTCCACGGGTCGACCGGTGTGCGCCATGGAAGGGGAACCTCGAACTGTTTTTTGAGGCCTCTAGTGCCTTGCCGCACCGCTTGTAGAGCGAAGTGATCCTCTTGAGACAACGTCGGTCTTTCGTCTCCGATGTCATGAAACTCCTTTTCATACAGCCGTTGCAGATGATACTCTATGCGGTCCGTTTCGGCGGATAAGTAATTCACGGAACCGCGTACCCCTACTGGACCGTATAACATCCATCCCAGAGCCGTGCGTACGGCATAAGGTGCCTGGCGGTCGCCCACTCTTTGGTCAAGCACCCAATGCGCCTCGGGCACGTCGCATCCGATGAGGAGATCCACTTCAT